AAAAAATTTTATGACCAAAAACTTTGCACCGTACCTAATTATTTATTTCAAATAGTGATACAATAATAATATCAATTAATATATAACTGTTACATTTTGATTAAAGAAACGTATTGTTGCTGTCAAATGTAAAAATGTGACTGTTGTCCTAATAATAGTAAAAATGTTTGAATCCTGATGATCAAATCCTCCATGAAAAGAAATGAAATTGATGAAAATGAAACGACAAAGCACATTTGAAACAAATAAGGTTTATTAAACAGTAAGCCCCCGATCAAAAAAGTTAAAATACGACAATAAATTCAACAAATAGCTTAATCAAATCTATTTTTAATACTAATATTACATTATCATTATTATAAAAACGAATTATTATGTGAATCAAGAGATAACAAACTATAATATATATCAATGATAGATAACAAACGAGTGAATTCTTCTCAAACCTATCATCAACATGTACGTGACGATTCTTGCGAACCTGCAAACAAACAAACAAACAAAACAACTGAATTAGAAATCGATTAAGAACAATAATGGATTTGAAAAAGAAATTTGAAATTTTGAAACAAAAATCATTGACATTAGTCCATGAGAGAAGTTTGAAAAAAATCATTGACAGAAAAAAATTGGAAAAAAATCATTAACAAAAAAAACAAAAACAGAGGTCATTGACAAAAAGAAAATTTTAGAAAAAAATTGAAAAAAAATCATTGACAAAATTTTGGAAAAAAATATGGGCAAAAACTTCTTATAAAAAAATCAATGACAAAAATTTTAAAAAAACCATTGTCGCAATGACCATGAAAATATTCTGGAAAAAAATTAAAAAAAAAAACAAAAATTATTGACAAAAAATTTGAAAAAAAAATCATTGACAGAAACAAAATTTTCAAAAAAAACATTGACATAAAATTTTGGAAAAAAACATTTACAAAATAATTAAAAAAATTAAAAAAAATATTGACAAAAAACTTGAAAAAAAAACATTGACAAAAAAGCAAGAAAAAAAACATTGACAAAAAAGCAAGAAAAAAAACATTGACAAAAAAGCAAGAAAAAAATCATTGACAAAAACAAAAGTTTGGAAAAAAAATCATTGACAAAAATGATTAACAAAAAATTTGAACAAAATTATTGACAAAAAAACATAAAAACAGAAATCATTGACAAAAACAAAATTTTGATAAAAAAAATTATTGACAAAAAAACATAAAAACAGAAATCATTGACAAAAACAAAATTTTGATAAAAAAAATTATTGACAAAAATCATTAACAAAAAATTTGAACAAAATTATTGATTTAAAATTTTGGAAAAAAAATCATTGACAAGAAAAATAAAAAAAAATATCGATGGCAAGAAAAGTTTAAAACAATCTATGACCCAAAAAAATTTAAAACAAATTGACAAAAACAAAATTTTTAAAAAAATCATTGACAAGAGAAATTAAAAAAAAATCATTGACAAAAACGAAAAAAATATTTTGAAAATGATTATTGTTAAAAAAAATTTTTGGAAAAAAAATATAAAAATTTTCAAAGAAAACTACTTTAACACTATGTTAACAATTTAATACACTTTAATAATAAAAACACAGAAAAAACACAATAAGTTTGACTTGTTTAATAAATTTCAAAGTAATAACATGTCTCGATGGGAATAGCTTTTTTTAAATATTTTTATTTGTTTCTGTTTTATTTTTTTATTCTAATATTTATTGTTGTTATATTAATTGGTGTATTATATTTTTTGTGTTTTTCCTGTCTTTCTTTAAGTTAATTTATTATAAAAATATATCATACATATATAAATATAATAATATAAAAATAGTATATATGATTGTAATATAAAATATGTAATAAATAATGTGTAATAAAATTGTGTAATTATAAATATATATATTAATATAATTAAACACTTAATTTTCACCTTTAACTTTTGCTCGACTTCGATAAGATATTGTGTCCCAATTATGATTTCATCCAAATGCCAAAAAATGAAATGATGCATCAATACAATTTAGTATTTTCAAATGGTTCTACATAGAAAGTATTCATGAATTGAAAACAGTGAAAAGAAAAATGTAAACGAAAAACGTAAAATCCTCATTGGATCATTCTAAATGATACGATTACATTCTATTTTAATAGTCAATCAAATTGAATGTTGGTAAAACTAGAATCACGAATGTTTTGTAATTGATTTATAGTAGTTTTATTCAAGTTGATAATTTATTCAAAGTTAACGTAAAAACTACAAAAAAAAAAACAGTGATTAAATTCATTTACCACTTGCCTTGTAATGTCACTTCACTTTTAATGGCGCCGAATGTCACAATTGTAACTTAACATAAAACTTGTTGCACAAAATGACTATTGAAAGTTATAGCACAACCGTACGATTTAAACTCGAGCACAAAATAATTTAACAAACACAAAACACTCTAAACAAATACTAAAACACTATCAGTTTCGAATAATTCAACCGCTAACCTCTCTTTTCATATTCCATGTGCACTCGTTGACAGTCATCGGGCGAAAGAAGAGATTTCGTAGCGTCGCCACGTGATTCGTCGGCGCCACCGGTTTCGTTTTGACTTTGACAGTTTCGAATGACAGCGAAGCGGCCATGTTGGCGCCAAATTTGAATCCGACGAATTATTATTAGTTTACCTGATAGAAAAAAGTATTAATACAAATACAAAGTTGCAAAGTGAAAATTAGCAAAACTATTATTAATTGTGCAGCATGAATATTTTTGGACCAACATTTGAGCAACAAATTTGATATGTTAAATATATATATATATATATATATATATATATATATATATATATATATATTTAAGATATCACACAGTATTTGATTTTCACTGACATTATAAATATATTATTGAAAACTTAATGGAAAACGCATGAAATAATATATTAATTTTAGTTAGATTGGATACTGAATACAAATCGAATACAAAACAACTAAATTATAAATCAGTAAAAGGGATAAAAAAACTAGTGGGGCGCATGGCATCGTGCCTCAAGGCATTTTGCTAGAACTTCCCATACCAAAAATTATTTTTCTTAAAAAGATTAATATTTTTGAAAAAAATTTACTCTGAAAAAATTAGATTTTTGAGAAACTAAAAATTTTTGACAAAAACTTACTTTTTTTGAGAAAAAAAAGACTTTTTGAAGAAAAATTTATTTTGAAATATTTTGGAATTTCTGAACATTTTTCAACACAATCGTACTGCTTTAACTACATGTTTTAGTCGACAATTTTATTAAACATGAGGCTATGTAAAGTAAATTTACAAAATATGTTAAACAATTACTTTATATCAAAAATGCAATAAAAGCAATGGTATATTGAATATCAAAACCAATTTCGTTTGATTCAAAATAAAGACTAATTTTATTTAATGAGAAGGAAAGTTTAAAGTAACAATGAAAAGCTTACATTATTTTGTTGCTTTCATCATAAATTAAAAAGGACAAAGTTAGTACAATCCAATATAAAATTTTCATTATATGCTATTACCTTTAAATGGCAATTTAAATATTTGCATAGAAAATCAAGTAATTTTCAAACGTTTTTTTAAAACAAATACAATTATTAAATTTTGAGCAAAATTTCTTACTTTTAGTAAACAAAACACTTTCTTTCAAATAAAAGTGTATAATAGAGAAAAAACAACTTACATTTTTAATAGATCTTGCACCACTCAGTCAAAATCAACGTTAATTATTGGGCACCAAAAAGCATCTTCAACGCTTACATTATTTTGTTGCTCTTGCTCAACAATGATTCTTTGGCAGCCTCATCGTTGTAGCTGCTAAAAATTAAAAAAAAAACATTAGTAAAATTTAAACATTAGAAAAATGTATACTAATATTCAAAATAAAAAATAACAAAATCAAAACTTGCACCACAATAGAGACAAACCAAGATATTCACGACCATCAAACGAGACAAAACCGAAACTGTCACATGAAACACACACTTTAACTTAATTAATAATGAAATAGATATCCACAACACTTCATCTAGTCACATAATCTCCATCTGCACAAGTTAACCTTTTTATTTTCTTGTCAAATATCTCGAGATATTTTAAAATTAGAAGATATAAGAGAAATAAGTATTTACATGAACATTCATCTATTCATCGTCTTGATTGATTTTCAAACTGATATTCAAAATAAATGTTTCAATTTATATTATTGTAATATAGTGACTTTACCTCAGCGATTATATTTGTCTCCTGTTTAAAATTACCCATTGTACATAATACAGTAATTTTTACCCATGAATTCATTTCAAATTGTACAAAGGACAGAGTTCACGTAACATATGTAATGAAGAACTCCAGACTCGGCATAAAAATCCACAAAATCAAAAGAAGATCAGAGCCACGAAGAATTTAATTATGTGTAGAAACAAGCTGCCTTCTAAAAGAGAAAAATAAAATGAAAATAGTGACACACTAACACCGTACGTAATATATTATACCATTTTTTAACATTCATTTTATATTATTGTATATATTTACAATAATGTCCTTTATGACTAAAATAAACAGTCACTTGAATTGAAGTTTTGTAACTTGAAGTCCTTGTAGTTATTACCAGAGCTTTGGATGCAAGATTTTATTTCCGGCTATTTTCCATTATTCCGAAAAATTGTGAAATCTTGTACAAAGTTCCTCAAAAAATGACAACGAGATCTGTAAGGAAGAGGTAACATTATTTTATTTATCTTATTGATAGTGGAGAATGTTGAATGCTAAATACATCTATTGTAAGGACAAATGGTATCACCATTTGAATATGCTCTTATTTGGTAAAAGTATTCCAAGTAAGTCTTTCTGAATGAATTATTTGGAAAATTGATGCATATGGTGTAATGCATATATTGCGTACAAGAGAAATAATTTACTTATTAATTGTAATATTTAAACAATTTATGAATAATTACATAACATATTTGGAAATTTGTACAACTTTAGTAATCCGTTGTTTCTAACATTATTAGGCCTACAGCAAGTCGATATAGTTCATAGGTAAATAAAGTCTAAATATAAGGTTATATAAGCATAAAATTTTTATAAATATAGTTAAAAATGACTCATGAAGTCGGAAAGCATTTAAACTTGCCCCTATGGCAAAATGTCACTTGAAAAATTTATACAAATTTAGTCAAAATATTCAAATAATAAGCGCGAATTTTATCACCTCGCTAATGATAGATCCCCATCTATGTGTACCAAAAATAAACTCGTCAAGGTTGAAAACTAAACTGAAGTCAAGTTTCGCACGATTTATGCTTAAAATAAACAAACCCGCAGAGATAGCGCAAGTATATTTTATGTTACTAGTCTTAGAAATTATGGTAAATGATTAATTTGAATAAACGAGCAATTTATCAAAAGTTGTCGCTAAGAATTAAGCTTATATTATATAATATAAGATTTGATAAGAGGGAGAGTAAAATTTCATAGAGTAAGAGTAAAATTTGAACTTTTTTAAAAAATTTTACTCTTACTTTTAAGACATTTTACTTTTATTCCAATCATAACTTAATTTTTATTTTAGGCTTTAGATTGAAAATAAAATTTGATAAAAGATTAAAATTGATTTGGCCCCTTTTGGCCGTCGAATTGGCCCCTTTTTATTTTTAGAATTCAGTATTCCATTGGTTATTTCAAAGCCTTCACTGAAAAAGAAAATTGTATTTAATAACTTCATCATAATAATAAAAACAGTATAAACTTTATTTGGAATAAATATGAAAAATTACTTGTATTTTCTTTTCTTATAATTTATTGCCAATTTTTATACTCATGTATGTAATTATAACTATTTTATGACTACTAACCTGATTAGGCCCTTTGCATAGCATGATGATGATTCATCTTTACTGAATTCTATTGTTTATTTCAAAGTCTTCACTGAAAAAGAAAAAGAAAGTAATAATAAAAACTAATAAATTTTATCTTATTTTCAATAAAACATTACATTACCGAGTCGACCAAGAATTTGTTTTGTTGCCAAGAATTGCTTTGTTTTGCATTGCCGGTATTCTTTGTAAAAATAATAATTTATTACATTAATTATTCAAATTATATAAACAATAACTGACAAAATTTTTGTTTAATTCATTTCTATTACTTCATAACAATACTCGAGTAAATTTCATTTGTAATATAAATTTATCACTGATAAAATTTTTAATTATCAAGCAATTTAACTGTAACTTACCCATATTTGATTCGAAGCCTTTGATTAGGTTGCCATTTACTAGTAATTCTAGGATTTGTCATCATACATCCTCTAATTTGCCTGGTTCAGTAAGTAAATTTTATGTTAAGAAATTATGGTAAATGATTAATTTGATTAAATAAACGAACAATTTATCAAAAGTTGCCGCTAAGAATTAAGATTATATTAAACTAGTGGTGCTTGGCATCGTGCCTAAAGGCAAATTGCTGGAACTTCCTGTACCGTAATGAAATATTCGACAAATTTTAAACGTTTTCAAATATATCATTACGAATACTGTAACTTTCATTATTTTTGCTATCTTGTTATATCTGAGCAAATCAAATGTAAATCATAATCATAGACAATTTATCTCCAGAACATTAACAATCGTCATTTCATTTCGAATTCAATTTGAAAAAATATTTGTCACAGTCTAAACGCATTTGCAAATAATTCTGTGCGACATTTTCACTTATACTGTGCTTAGCTTGGCGGCATTTTCACATTTTTCAATAGTTTTCACAAAATTGGGAAAGTACATCCAGTGCATAAACAGTCTAAACGGACTTGCGGAAACATTTGTATCAGAGTGGCGCTTAGACTGTGCTTATTAGTCTGGGTAATTTTTTGAATTTTTAATCCAAAATTACAAAAATATTTTTTGAAAAAACAAGCAGAAAGTTCTTTGAATCATTTAAATCGGACGCTTAGTTATCTCAAAAACTGCCATTTTTTTACATTTAGCTCTGTATCTTCGAAACCGCTGGGCCTACCTTTGCCAAAAACGAATAACCACTTTTCCCCGTCATTACGAACTGAATGTTTTTTGGATAATACAAATCGGATGATCCGTTCTTTCAAAAACTCGATTTCTATTTTCTGCACTCTTTGCTCTTTATCTCCGTAACTGCTGGACCTGCATTGGCCAAAAACTAATCAGCACATCTCCCTATTAATAGGAATCGAATGTTTTTTAAAGCATACACATCCGTGCGCCCGAAAACGTGGACGAAAAAATGCTGACAAACAAAACACACACACACATCCATTTAGTTTCTGAGGTATGCCAAAATGTTCAGAAACCTTCAAAACGTCGAGAAATGCAAAAATTTTCATTTTCGATTTTCGGCCCATTACCATAACTACCCTACGGGAAGTTAATAATATAAGATTTGATAGGAGAGAGAGTAAAATTTCATAGAGTAGGAGTAAAATTTGAAATCTTCCAATCTTCTTTTAAACTTTTATTCGAATCAAAACTTAATCTTTATTCGATTTTATACTTAAGCTTTAGATTAAAAATAAATTTTGGTAAAAGATTAAAATTGATAAGAGTAAAAATAGTAATAGATTTAATGGATCAAATTTTAACTCACACACCTACTTTTACCTATTTGATGCCAAACGATTCAGACCGTCTTGAGATCTCTAAAAATAGAATAGTTTGCCAAAAACACACTTGTCCTTTAGAAACTATATATGAAGAAAAAATGCTTTTTAAAACGATTGTCTGCATATGGTAATTACTAATCACGTACAACCGCCTATTGTTGGTTTCACACAATATTTCCCTCATCTAATTAGTGTTGTTCAGAAAACAGTTAACGAACATGTTATATAATTAAAATTTAATTTAATTAGCTGCATTCGTCAGAATTCCCGGTAATTCCATGTCTAAACTTTTAATTATTGCACTTTTCATAATCGGCAGTCGCAATTCGTTCATCTGCTAATTATTCATTACACGTTTTAATGTTCGATCAAAGTTGACGGATTAATTAATGTTTCTGCATATGGTGGTGCTTTATAAATGCATTCATTTCTGGCTTTAAAACGAGAAAGTTCATTTTAGTTTAATTAATGAACATAATTAATTAGCGGGAGAATGTTTCATTTCAAAACAAATGCAGCTACTGGACTCTGAATTTATTTTGAATTGATACGGATGAAGGTGTAAAGATTTAATCATTAATAATAATTTGTGTATTTTCTTTAGAGTTTTACAATTCTAATATGTTATGCTTTAATATGCCTACTATGACGACAAATACTATATCCGATGTGTTTTCTCAGAAATATTCAAAATATATAAATTTTTTTAGAGAAATGGGAGCACTAGAGTCATTGCATGCATTTTGTTGAATTGGTATGACGAAGATGTAAAGATGTAGTAATTTTTAATAATTTGTGTATTTGTATTTAGTATGTTATACTTTAATCTGTCTACTATGATAATAAGTACCAAAATCGATACGTTTTATAAGAAATATTTGAGATATTAAGAATTTTATGAGAAAAGTGACTATCACATAGTGAGTCACTGAACGTATTTTGAATTGGCACGATAAAAATTTAGAAATTTTTAATAATTTTTGTATTTGTTCTAGAAAGCTAGAATCCTTGCATATATTTTGAAATATTAAGATAATATAAATATTTAACTAGTTGGTATTGGTATTTAGCCTTGAGGCGAGTTACATGAACTTCCCGATATGTGTAAATAATCGACTTAACCAATAAAAAATAAATTAATGTATGAGTGATTGAAAGTATTCCGAGTGGATTTATTACACATCATTGAAAACGAACGAACACTCTATACCAAGTAAATCATCTAATTTTTATTTTAACAAACGTCAAAAAACTACTCATTTTCTCAAACTTTGATGAATATTTTAAGTTAAACTACTTGTCGTAAAGCCGTAATACTTCAGTAAGTTCCATGATATATATTTCCAAAAAAAGTTCCATAAAAATCGGCTTAAATTTTTTTTTCGACATTTAATTACAAGAATACGGCTTGGTAGATTTTCACCTAAAACTAATCAGTATCATTCCCAAATAATATTTTTCGAACAGTTTTTGATTTGTCAAAATCGATTCGGTAGTATGAGCTTAAATGTAGACGAAAAGTTTAACACTTTTTTCTAAATTATAAAGAAACGGCTCGGCAGATCGCACAAAACTGAGAAAAGATAATCTACATCAAAATATATCGAATGACTTTTAAATTTTTGAAATTGTTCTAGCTGTTTTTGAGAAAACGTCGATGACAGTTCAAATTTTGTCAAAAGTCAAAAAACAATACTAATTTTTGCAAACTTTGACGAATTTTCAAAATTAAACGACTTGTCGTAGGGCCGTAATATTTTAATATGATCTAGAAGACCATGATATCTATCACAAAAAAAAAATCATAAAAATCGTCGAGTCGGCTCGGTTTCTTTGAAATTTGGAAAAAAGTGTTAAACTATTCGTGTACATTTAAGCTCATATTACCGAATCGATTTTAAGAAATCAAAAACTGTTTGGAAGATATTATTTGGGAATGATACTGATTAGTTTTAGGTGAAAATCTACCGAGCCGTTTTCTTGTAATTTAAGCCGATTTTTATGAAACTTTTTTTAGCGATATATATCATGGTCTTATACAACTCATTGAAATTTTACGGCATTACGACAAGTAGTTTAATTTTAAAAATTCATCAAAGTTTGAGAAAGTGAGTAGTTTTTTTGTCGTTTGTCAAAATTACAATTAGACGATTCACTTGGTATAACGATAGAGTACTTGGTCTTAATGAATATACTACCATTAAAGTCCTATGGAAACTGGTTCCATTATAAAAAGAATTGATTTTTGAAATCTTGCTTTTAGTAAATACTCAGAGTTAACGTGTTCATACGTTTTCAATTATGTGTAATAAATCCACTCGGAATACTTTTAATCACTCATAAATTAATTTATTATTTATTGAGTAAGTCGATTAATTACACATATCGGGAAGTTTTATGTAACTTGCCTCAAGGCAAAATATCAATACCAACTAGTTTTATATGTGACCTAGTTCCATTGATGATTGTATCATTTTGGCCATCACTGATTGGCTTCGCACATGTTTCGACAATAGGAAATTAATTTCAGCCCCGCCGACACCTTACACCGGCTTCGGTAATTACAACCCAATCTGGAACAATGGGCCAAGGGCTAAGAGCCAAGAGGGACCATAAAGTGCGTGGGCATGGGCATGGGTATACCCACATACCCACACTCACGAATGTATTACTAACATACTAACAATATATACATTCATGCAGTGTGTCGACAAATGTAATTGTAATCCATCTGCATACACAACAACGTCAAATATTGTCTAATACTCTAATGTATCAATGGCCTTGCGATTGCCGGAGCCGGAGCCGGAACACGTGTCGTCGTCGTAAATGTCGTAATAGATTCGATATTCGCAATTTGCAATATATAACGAGGTGCCCGCGTTCATAACAATTTGGAGACATCGAAACGAAGAAATTATCGTAGTAGTACTCCGACTTATGAGTGTTTTTAGATGCGAGCCGCAAAATAAGCGATTTGTTGCTTCCACACACGAGCTTTGGGTGACTAGGTTTTCAGGAAAAAAGCCAATGGCAAAATGAAAATATGAAAAAGTTGCCAGTTTAGCAGTGATTTTCCTGCCTTAAAAGTATTTGTTTTATGATATAAAATTATTTTACAGTTTGTCATTTCAATTATATTTAAAATAATATTAATTGTATGGTAATGATTTACTCACACAAATATATCGAGGATTATAGTGAACATATTATAGTATAATAATGTTATAATAAAATTATAGCATTCTAGAGCAAATACACAAATTATTATAAATTTTTAACTTCCCGTAGGGTAAGTTATTGTAATCGTCCAAAAATCGAAAATGAAAATTTTTGCATTTCTCGACGTTTTGAAGGTTTCTGAACATTTTGCTTAAATGTAGACGAAAAGTTTAACACTTTTTTCCAAATTTCAAAGAAACGGCTCGGCAAAACTAACAAGCGATAGTTCTCATTGAGACACATCAAATGGCTTTTAAATTTCTGAAATCGGTTCAGGCGTTTTTGAGCAAACGTCGATGAAAGGTCTAATTTTAACAAATGCCAAAAAAATGATACTAATTTTTGCAAACCTTAACAAATTTTTAAAGCTAAACGAGTTGTCGTAGGGCCGTAATATTTTAGTATGATCTAGAAAACTATGGTATCTACCGTCAAAAAAAATCATAAAAATCGTCGTTTTTTTT